ACTCACTGCCCCCTAACTTTTCTATCTAATCTTTCCAGTTGCTGTTGTCAGTTTGATCCCATCTAGATAGTTCTTAAAGGAGCACGATGCTTAAGGCAGATAATCTTTTAATAAAGTCTAATTGATGTTAGTTAAAACACAGTAAGTAGTCATTTTTTGTAAGTTAAAATTTGTCTAAAAATGACCATTTTGTATGTTTCAATCTAATACCTCAGAAACAGTATTTTTGACTGTCATAGATAGTTTGACTTATATCTTTATCCTGTTTTCCCAATGTATTTTTCCATTTCTCAGTGCATTTTAGTTGTTTGGGTTGCTTCCTCCTAATTTAATTTCTTTGTCATTTGTCTGCCTGAAAGGTTTAAAGGCAACTTACTTTGTATTCTTGCCTTTCAGCACATGCTGGCGTGTCAAGAGTAAAGTTTTGACCAGAAGAGTTTAAAAGGGCTTGGCTTATACCACCAGATAGCAAGAGAAACAACCTGAAGTTATTAAAGTTTTTGATTGATTGAAAAATATCATTAATTTCACAGTCTCCTTTCAATGACACTCAGCATTTGAGTTCCCAAGTTCCACAGTCTTTTTGTTTTCTTCTTTAGGGGACAGTTATTTTCCCTCAGTTAGTGACTCAAACAGGAGAACTATCCGTTCATCTGGATAAAGGAGCATCGTGTTATTTCTCCCAGAGTGATCTGATTAGAGCAGCTATAAAAATTCCAACAACTAAGTGACAGAACCTGAGGTGAACCTCATGATGCCAATCTTGTTTTAGTTATTCTACCTAGTTACCCTTGTTACTCAGTTTACTCTCATGCAAATGTTCAAAGCATACGTGTTACTCACATCAAGCAATGCACCTTACTTTTTCCTATATACACTTATGCTCTGGTTTGATTCTCCATCAGATGTCTTTGAATAACTCCCAGTGTCCTTTTATCCTCTCAATGGAGGTAGAAAGGATTAAAAAGACTAAAAAACATTAATTGAGCATTTATTATGTACCATGCGTTAGGTGCTTTTACATATTTTAACTAGTTCAAGCTTCACAACAATCCTATAAGATAGATACAAATGTTTTCCACAATTTATAGAGGAGAGAACTAAAGCATGGAGTAGTTATGTACCTTGCACACAGTTTAAACCTGCTCTCAACAACGTTTCTATTCTCTCTACCTGTGGTAAAGAGGATATAAGTTATCCCCCTCCCTATCCATGGTTACAGGTCACCCTTCACTCTTCTATGACATGATGATTCCTCTGGAAATGGAGATAGTTTATAGGCTGGTTAAAATAAATTTAAAGGAATACTACTGCATCATAACTGCAGTTCAACAAAATTCATCTACTATCGTTATCTACTCATTCATCGGACACTTATTGACATCTTTAGTGTGTCAGATGATATCATAGGCACTTTAAAGAATGTAAATATGAGAAACACATGGTCCTTTATTCCAGGAGTTTAGAGACCAGTAGGAGTGAAAATATGTCTGCAAATCATCAGAAGAAGATGTTAAATACAATGCAATAATGTCCAGTGCTTTAGGAGTGCTGAGGAAGAAAGGCTGGCTGGATTTTCTTGGAAAGCTTAATGAAGGGGTTCTCATCTGAGCATGTTCTTCAGGGGAGCAGGATATAATGGAGTGGCTTTGTGAATGCTTCTTGAATTTAGTGATTAGAATGTGAGGTTGTGCATTCATTGAAGTTGATTTCAACTAGTAATGCCAGATTTTACTTTAGCCTTTCACCAATGCTCATGTACTAATGAAACA